AATGATGTTGAAAAATTTCCAACAGTGTTTCCTAATATATCACGATGGGGTTTAAAAGGAATTATTTATTTTTAAAAGCATCTAATGAAGAAACAGAGCTGCTAGTCAAGGTGATGACCAGCCCCAGCTGTATGACACTTTGTTTGGGTGCTCTACCAAGACAATTTTAAGATTACAGCCTTTCCTCCCAGGTTAAAGTCTACTGTCCAGGTGGACTGTAAGATTAGCCCCAACCCTGAGCAGATTTGCCTTTTCCTTTTACCTCTCAGATTTCACTACCTTCTGCCTTTCTCCACCTGATCAGATGAATCATCAAAGCATATTTTTGCTGAGCAGAAAACCCCATCCCAGTATGGGAACAGCATGGACATATTTTCAAAATAACCCAGTCTTGGTTTTGATGAACAGAGAAGATGAAGCCTGATAGTCCATGCAGAGTCCACCAGGTACTCCCGGAGATTCACCAGCGGGTTTCATTTCTCTGAAAAGCCTCCAAGATTTTACATTTTAAAATCAGGCTCCATCACTGTCACCTGTCTGTCTCCACACCCTCCTCTGCACCTTCCTGCTGCCTCCTTGCTGACATCTGCCACATTGCCTTGTCCCACACCTCTCCTGCAGTCAGAGCTGGAGCCAAGCCAGGCAGCCTTGCTGGAGTTTATCAGGATCTGCCAGCAGCAGGTCTTGAATCCCTCTAGGGCTCGCGTTCCCTGCCACCAGGGTGTGTCTCTGTGCCTGGAGCAGTGCAGGCACTGAGGAGCCTCGGTGTCCCCAGGGCCAGCAGGACCCGCAGCACTGTCCCCTTCAGCCACACCAGGCTGCAGCAGGAGGCTCTGTGCAAATGGCTGCATCTCTGCCTGGCTGGGATCTGCCTGTCCCAAACTGCACCTTTGCTTTGCAGAGGGTACGGGGCTGCTGCTGCTCCCGGGCTAATGAGCTCTCAGCAGGGCCAGTCAGTCTGGGGAGGATGGTGGGTTAATTCGGTGGCAGCACTGGCTCATCTTCTAGTTGTGACCTTGTTTGCCTCTAATTTGGGTACCTTGTTGTCACACTACATCCTCAGACCTGGCAACATCCGTACTGCTTCAGAAATGCCACTTAGTCCTCTAGTTCATATGAGCTTCGTCACGCTCAGCAAAGCTACACATAAATACATTTTAAACATCAGGCACCAGCACACTTCTCAGGTGTTTCAGGAATCCAGCCCACACAGCCATTTAATGCCAACCTGGGAATGCCTAATTGCTGCTTCATGCAAAACATGGACTGACACATTTTTTTCTGTATCTATCACAAAAGAAACCAAAATGCAGCATAGAATACAATAATCAAAATTCTAGTGATCACCACCCTACTAGTTCTTGTGAAGAGGGGACAGCTAGAATGGGCACCTAGAAGGCTGAAAATCCACAGGAACATCTGTTTAGTGATAAGCCCTGAAAACTGATTACATTTATTTGAAGATTGAAATCCTGTTCAGTCTCCCTCACTTGCTCATGAGGGAGGAAACTAACACTTAAAAGTTGTATATAAAGCCTTCAAAAAAACATTTTAAATGAGGTGACTGTCTTCAGTTTTACTTTCAAAATAAATTCCTTTACACTGGGCTCAAAGTCACAAGGCTTAAGGCAGTGGTAGCAAAAAAATTTAGTAGGCCTTTAAAATAAAGACATAACTTAAACAAAAAAAGAGTTAAAATTTAAAAAAATCATAAGAAAATGTCTCATTATACTTGCAATAACCTGAATTATTGTACCATACCCATATTTTAATTTTACCTAGTCATCAAGGTTGAAGTATCATGTTATTGCCATACTTCTCCAAGTAGCAACTGTATTACTAAAGACATTATGAAAAAAATATGGACTTTTACTGCTTAGTAGAAGCAGTGTAGCAGGACCAAAAACAAAAGAAAAAAAGAAAGAAAGGTTTTGTTCAGTATCTTTGAGGCATAGACAGAACCAAATTTCTGTAAAATTGTCTCTTTCATCTGTCAGAAAACTGAGCCTGTAATTACATTTTAGATCTTGGTAGAGACTTGGTATTTATATAATTGTTATCCAGTTCTTCTTCAGATGTATGTTAATGTGCCATTTTTTGAGTTTTCATAATTTTCATGTATAGATGATTCATTTTCAGCAGCAGTGAAGGAATCTTGAAAATGTTCATCTCTTTTTTCCACACATTTTTGCAAATCCGGCCGTAGCTCTGCACGGATGGGAGTTTGTAACCGAGTATTTTCAGGCTGCATATTTACAGAAACAGCTCTGCCCTGATGCGAAGTAACCACGGAGAGCTGTGACAGGGTTCACAGTCCAGCAGCACTGAGAGGAGATACTGGAACGTGCTGCTGTGCAGAAGAACTCAGCAGTAGCCAGTACAGATGTGTGTCTGGGGGGGCTGGCAGCGTGGGGAGGCGCGATTAGCGGGGCCCGGCAGGGACGGGGTTATCACCGCGGGGACTCCTGCCAGGTCACGGGGCAGCATTTCCCCGCAGAGCACAAGCTGCAGGAGTTTAGCCATAATAAACCAGGATAAAGCGTGTTTTCGTCAGCACGGAAAGGACGCAGCCCAGCGCTGCAAAAACAGCTGTGAAAACTGGCGGTGTTTTGTAGTCTGATTTTATCAGCTTCAACATTTTAGATACTGAATTCTTCATAGAGCATTTGAACAGGAATCAGGGGCCATGAGTAGAAATTTAAGGTCTGATTGGGGTGAAAATATTTGCAAGGGAATATGGTGTTTGGGATTTTGTTTATGCAAAATCTGGTACAAACAGAAGGAATTGAAGGGGCAAAAAGGAACTAAACTTTTTTATCAGACACATTTTCCCACAGGACGATCAGTGAAGCACAGACACTTGTTTCAGTATGTGCAATATCCAGTTTAGGGAAGTGTGTGAATATCACAGGGGGAGTTCCAGAATTAAATGTCAGGATCTCTCAGACCTGGATTCTGCACAGAGAAACCAAAAGGAAAACCTCAGGCACTGCTGGCACTTCCAAGATTGCATCAATAACTGTGTTGCTTCACTCATCGCATGCTTGCTGCAGGGTGGTATTTTTGTCACAGTTATAATGCTGCAGCACAGTGATAACTCACTGGGAAACTGCGTGGGGCTTCACTGTATGGTTTCCTCTGTGCTTGGGCTGATCTTTCAGCTTGAGCCCTACCAAGTGCCATGGTAGGACTCTGGGTAGCTCTGTTTCAGACTATGTCAATGTCCTTTTTTTTTTTTTTTTAGTTATAAAAGGGTTTCCTCATTTAATCCTTAATTCCTGCTCAAATTTAGAGATTTGTCAACAGATAAAAAAGTTTCATGTGGGCACCTAGATGTTTGATCCAGCTCTGTGTCTATTGCTAGATGACTTGGGCATTACTCATATACTCTTGTACAGCTCAGAGAGCTTGTGCTCGCAGTCCTTGCAGGGCTGGGGCCATACTTCATGAGTTAAGAACAGCTCTCCATGCTCAGCCATGTTTGGCCTTGGCATGTTGCATTTGACAAGGCCAGCTGTACTCGTCAGGGTCTGGGCGTCTAATCAAGCAGAAAGAGCAAGCAGCTATCTCTGGCGGCCTCCCCCATTCCCCAGCAGAACACATTTTTCCAGGGCCACTGATACTCTTGCAGCAAGTATCACAGACTTTACAGTTTTACAGATTTATGACTGGTGCCCTCAGGAGCTACTGCAGTGTTCCTACTTAATTTGATAGTAATAGTTACAGTAGCACAAACTGATAACATTTACAGAAGATCTTTCTGTAAATTACTTGTACTTACAGAAAAAAAAATCCATTAATATTTCCTTTTTTTCCCAACTTTCCATTCTGTCAATATGTGTGCTCCTGCATTTGTATAAAAATATCCTCAAGACACTCATGCCCAAGCATCACTGAAACATGCACAAAAACATATATAAATTTACAAGAGAAATACAGTATGGGAATTAAAGAAAAGAAATACACTCAATATAGTCTGTCAGAGAAATGCACTGAAGAAATACCTGTTTTAAATTGCCCATTCAGCCCACACACAGTCCAACAACTACACTGTGCAGTGGGAAGGTCCCCTCCACTACTTTCAGTTGAAGTACACAAAGCTCAATTTAGCAATTAGATAAAAAGGTTCAGCTAGTTTCTGATTTCCACATGTTCGAGCACATGACTCAATTAGCAGAAACATTTTGTGGATTAGCTTTTGCAAACCCTGCTAGAGGGGCCTCGTGTTCTGAGCCTTGCTGGAACTGCCCACGGATGAGCTAAGGCACAGGTGAAACCTGCACAGCCCCGTGCCGCTCGCTGGAAACACTCTGCTTGTGGGGGTAGGGTCTTTCTATTAACTCCAAATGCTTTCAACATCTCAAAATTGTTTGTTTGATAGAGGGCAGTAAAGAAAGGTGAGAAAGCTGTCCCTTTGACCCATAGTGCAGTGCTCTGCAGCAGCACGCAGTAGCCTCGGGTGGTTTTTATGCCCAGGATTAAAGGGATTGGGAACGAAGCTGAAGCAGTGTGCTGAATCAAGGGTCGGAAATCGCTTTGCGGGGCAATTTTTCTGGTAAGGTAAAAAACAACTATGATTTCCAAGTGCAAATAAACACCCTAATGCCCTATTTTCAGAATTTGTTTATTTAATCTCAATTTTTGTACCGTAAATGGTGCAGCTAAGACTTTGATTGGATGATCTGACAATGTTGTGTTTCAAGGCACAGAGGTTTGGCTGCAAGTGACAAAATTATCAGAAATTTTGGGACAAGTGAATGCAAATAAGTTTGTTAGACTTTGACAGCAAATGAGAGAGAAAAGAGGACATTTTCAATCAGACACATCATATTATGCCCTTTTTTCCTTATTAGGGAAAGCAGTGAAGCATTTCTGCTTATGCTGGACTTGCTTCTGGTAGTTGTGGATACAATTACTTTAAAATATGCGTTATTTTTAAAAATCTGTATCTTCCAACTATTTATTGAACTTCAATAACAACAACAGAAGAATCTCTTGGATCCTTTCTTAATCAGATGGATTTCTACCTCTGGCTTTATTTTTCTCCTTATGCTCATTTTGGCCATATGAAAAATTCAGTATTAGGGAAGGTGAAACATTTCTTTTGCTGCCAAGTCCTTCACTCATAAAAGCATCACACCATTTTTTTCCTCATCTTTGATCCTCTGTGTCTTGTTCCATTTCCTCTCCACAGTGTCCAAGCATCATAAAAGCCAAAATTCTTTTTTCCCTGGGTTTCTAATAATTATCTCTGACTTGTTTCTACAATTTTTCTTCTATTCCCTCTTAAAAAAGATTGCCAGTATTCTACAAAATGCATATTGAATAATAAAGAACTATTATAACAGGCATAGCTGTAAGCACACTCATGAATTATTATTTAAGTTTGATTGTGAAGACTTAACTTTGCTTCAGATATATACATGTATTGAGGATATCAGTAGCATCTGTTACAGACAGAAATGTCTCCAAGTATTCTGGGACAAGAGGAAAAAACCATGTCTTGATTTGCACTATAGCAGTCTCAAGAATATGACTGTGGAATCAAAGTGCTTTCTTCTTTACCCTTAACTGAAGGACAAATTCACATAGTTCATCATGCCGAGCTAATGTATTTATGGTCCAGAGCTCTCCTCACTCCCAGACTTCAGGCTTACAGTGGAATCCAAGGTATGTAATGATGATAGGAACATGATATACTTTACTGTAACCTGTGCTTCAGGCAGCTGTTAATGCCAGTCTAGCTTTCTGTAGTCTTCAGCCAAAGGAAAGCTGTCTGCAGCATACGCACAGCTCCAGTCCCCAGCACACGTCCTGTGAAGTCAATGGCATGCTGGAGTAGATGCCACAGAAGCAAACAGCCATTTGCTGAAATTCAAGTTTCATATGTTAATGTATACTTGGGATCATTTCCCTGCCTAAGAAAGAAATTCATTTCCTTCCTGCAGAATTATAATTGCAGCAGTGTCTAAAGTCTCGCACAAAGACCCAGAGACACATTCTACTAAACTTTATGGGAAAGATGGTCTGGCTCCAAAGAGATAAAAGTCAAAGGTGGCAAAAAGGTCAAAACACAGAAAGGAGAAACCAAGAACTTCAGTGGGAAGGGAAACAAAGAGAAACACTGACCTCTTCACTCTGCTGAGCAGATCAAGAACAGAAGGATTTGAACTCAGGCTGCAGGTTCCTAGCCTAGTCTTCTATTGTATGCTGCTGCTTGTGACAGTCTTGGTCAGGAGGGATATGCCTTATTCTTTCAATATTGCCCCAAATAATCTTTTCAAGTTATTTTTGCTATGCAGACCCTTACATACCCCTAGTACACTAAGTAAGTTTTCAGATGACTCTAAATTGGGAAGAGCTGTTGACTCCCTTGAAGGCAGAGAGGCCCTGCAGAGAGACCTCGAGAAATGAGAGGACTGGGAAATCACCAAACATATGAATGGAACAAGGGAAAGTTCTAGATTCTTCACCTGGGATGGGGCAACTCTGGATATATAGACAGCCTGGGGAATGAGATGCTGGAAAGCAGCACCACAGAAAGGGACCTGGGGGTCCTGGTCAACAGGAAGTTGAACAAGATTCAGCAGTGCCCTGGCAGCCAGGAAGGACATCCCTGTCCTGAGGGCATCAGGCACAGCATTGCCAGCCAGGCAAGGGAGGGAATTCTCCAGCTCTGCTCTGCACTGGAGTGGTCTCAGTTAAAGTTCTGGGGACAGTGTTGGGTGCCACAATAAAAGGAAGACATTAAACTATTAGAGAATGTCCAAAGGAGGGCAAGAAAGATGGTGAAGGGCCTTCAGGGGAAGCCATGTGAGGGGTGGCTGAGGGCACTTGGTCTGGTCAGCCTGGAGAAGAGGAGACTGTGGGGAGAGCTCACTGCAGTCTGCACTTCCTCGTGAGGGGAACAGCAGGGGCAGACACTGATCTCTGCTCCATGGTGACAGTGACAGGACCCCAGGGAATGGCCTGAAGTTGTGTCAGAGAAGGTTTAGGTTGGATATTAGGAAACAGTTCTTCACCCAGAGGGTGGTTGGGCACTGGAACAGCTCCCCAGGGAAATGGTCACAACATCAAACCTGACAGAGCTCAAGAAGCTTCTGGACAGCACTCTCAGGCACATGGTGTAACTCTTGGGGATAGTGCTATGAAGGGCCAGGAGCTGGACTGGATGATCCTTGTGTGGGATCCTTTCAATTCAGAATATGCTAGCATTTTGCAATCCTAAATTTTCAGCCCTAGTTTATGCAAGTCATGTGTTGCTTTATTAAACAGTGATCATTTTTTTGTGAGTGCAAATGCTTTCAGTGGCATTCAGGTCAACAATATCCTACTCCCTTAGTTTATGAACATGCTACACTTATGTACATGATGTAGATCAAAAATGTGCACAGTGAGCTTCTCTGCAGCATCTGTTAGTGGTTCTCGTCCTGAACTGTCAAGGAAGGGAATCAATCAATCTAGTTGCTTGTCCTTGGGCTCCTGCTCTCATTGATCTGTGAAAAAACATGATCAATTTTGAAGTTTAAACGTTCAGAAAGCTAAGTAGTGTGGAAGGATTATTTGGTTTTATTTACATACAATATTTCTTCTATGACATCCTCAGAGGATGTTTACTTTTGTGCAGCAGTATGACACTGCTTACCTGTATGTGCTCTTTTTCCCTTCTTAAAATACTTTTATACTGAACTGCTGTTGGTAAGCAGTTTTCATTTTCACATTATTGATTTTAATTTAGTAACACTAAATGATGTTTATCAGTACCTAAATGAACCTCAACTATGAAAATACCCAGGTGAAGTACTATCAAAGGCTTCATTAACCTCATCGCATATACTTACACCTTCTCCCTGTACTCTTATTTATGTGCATACATTAGTGAAAATAATGGCAACATCTATTGATTCTACTGTGGATTAGATTTTAATTATTACAGTTCATAGAATAACGACATCATTAAGTTCATGCAATGCACAACTGCTGTAGGATAACTTACCTCCTTTGCAAATTCTACAAATCCAGTTCCCTATGATGTGACTGGTTTTAATCATACTGACAAAATACAGAACTGTGTTAATAATTCAGGTGCTGAACACCAAGTACATCTTCAGTGTAGGGGTCTCAACAACTTTTTGGAGTGGAGGGGCATCAACCATACTCGGAAAGATGTGAAGCTGAGGTATGGGTGCAGCTATCACATACATCTGAATTTCTTAATTACAGAGCCAGCTATTGAGGCTGCATTTGCATGTGCACAGTGACAGGCAGGCTCTGTGGACAAGTGAAGATAAGAAGTAGGTGCAAAGTTTGCAGCTGATCGATGTGGACAGCACAGATATGCTATTTATCTTCCCAAAGCTCCTTGGAAAGGGCTCAAGGCACCTTCAAGGGCATTTCATCTTGCAAGAGAGAAAGTGAGCTCCTCTGTGGCTAAATTCCCTAGTGACCTACGAAGGATTAATCTTAGAGTGAAACAAGAAGAGCCAAAGTTGAGGAATTGATTTTTGGCTGAGAGAAGCACTCAAAAACAGTACAGATGTTGTAGTAGCTGGCAAAACTGATTTCTTGGATCTAGTGCTATACTGAGTTATGGAAAGGGTGTAGACAGGAAAGATGACAGCAAGACCACAGAGCAAAAACAGAAAGTAGAAGCTGGCTGCATGTTAAGAGGAGATGGAAAAGAAGGCAGAAACTATATTAATGTAAATTTCTTTCCATAAAATCCACTTATTTTACAAATTCTTTCAATTATCCTACAATTTCCATTAATGGTATGTATTCATTCCAGTAATAAATCCAACCCATAGTTTCTAGATACCATTATTTAATAAGATTTTGTAACTTTGCAATTTGATTACTTGCATGTCTGATTATTTCCACGTTTCTGCTAAAGTACTTGTCTGTGTGACATTCTGACGACTACATGCATCACAAAACACACTTTGTAGTAAATGTGACAGTGGGGGTTTGCTTGCCAAAGCTTTTTAAAAATTGAAAGGCAATTCCAAACCAGGACCTAACCTGCATGTGTACCATCATAAGACTACTTTAGCATCCTTCAAACTTGTTTGCAAATACCAAAATCAGCCATTTGAGCATGCTAATCAAGGCACTGATTCTGCAAATACTTACTACCAGGCTTAATCCCTTTTGAAAGCACAGGGACTGTTCATGGTCAGAAAAGCTGTGCCTGTGAGTAAACACTTGCCTCTCACAGCCCTTGAAAGCAATTGCAGCCAGTATTTTTCTTCTGGATGGACAGTGTTCTCTTTTTGGCAGTCCACAAGTATGAAATGACATATACTATAATTGTGAAAATTATACAGGACTGCCCCTAATAACAGTGTGCAGGCAGCAACTGGCTGGGTGGTGAGAGAGAAGCGCTTAGTCATCCTGCGAGAGGCAGGCAGGAAATGTCGAGATGAACTGTCGTAATTAGACACGTGTTATTAGTATTTATTAAAACACAACTAGTTACACTGGTTGTGCATATTCTGTAGGCAGACCTTGTGCAAACCCGAGTAATCTAGCCTTAGCTGTGCAATACAGAGCTTGTTTACAATAGAGAGTTGTGCTGACCTAACTACATTAGTACAGTTAAAGCTGTACATCTCCAGTTTAGGAACTGTGTAAGAATAGCTTATTTTTCCCTAGCAGAAGTAGAACCAGTGTCAGTGTAAAACACCTTCATATCAGTATAAGCACACATCATTTTAAACAGTATAATTGAAAGGGATGAAAAAATTCACATAGCTGAGATAACATAATTAATTTGGTACATGATGTATGAAGAGAGAAGACTCACTATTTCATAAATAAATGTCAATGGATGAATCTCACTCCTCTTGCATATGAGAAGGAGGAGAAGTGAAAAGAACCAGTGTTTACGATGTAACCTTTTTGTCTGAGCAACTTGTGACCTAACCAGCATTTGCAAACTCAGGGAAATGCAGTGTATTAATTTGGTGGCTGCCTGTAAAAGTACTTGAATCAGTCTAAACTGATTCTTTGCATAGGAATGAAGAGGGAATCACTATGGCTGGATGGAGTGAAGCTGCTCATTTAAGAAAACAGTAAAAGATCACAGAGGAATAAAAGTTTCTGGCAGCATATATTTTACTATAATGTTCTGGTTTCTCATCTTGAAAATATAATGGATTTTCCTTCCATTTTTTCTTCCATTTTCAGTCTTCCAGTCAGATAAAGTAATGCCTATATATGAATAAGAAAAGGCCTGTGCTGTTGCAAAAGCTGGCTAATACTCCCTGAAGATTTCTGTTTCCCAGTGATCATTGCTGAGCACCATGGAGCTGGTGGACAGATGGCAGAACCAGGCAGCTGAGAATGGGCTTCTGCCTGGGCCCCTGTCTCTGATCTGCTGTAAAACCTTTGGTAAACCACCTTCTCTCTCTGTGCCTCAGTCTTCTCTTCTACAAAATGAGAGAAAGTCAATTTGCAAAGCAATTTGAGAAGTAACAACGGCAAGCTACTTCTCTATATTAGTTGGTGGAATTCCTACTCACTTCTACACCTTCTTTTCTTGTGCAAGAGCCACCATTGCAGACAGAAGCTTCAGTTTTGCTTATTAGATAATTGACTAATTTTGGATCTAAATCTGAATTTAGATTTCAAGTAAAGATCAAAGTTTCAAATTATTGAATGTGGTTTTTTTTCAGTTTCATGTTAAATGTTATGCAAATTTTCATACAGAATATTTCAATAAAACACATTTTGTTTCTACCTATGATTATGAATAACAAAATGGAGACAATAAATATGTTTAGCAATGCTACCTCTTTTTGAAGATTCCCCTCACTATGTATTTATAGAGAATTGATCCAAACACTACCAGTAATTCCATTAGGTTGAATCACTGAGTAACCTTGTTTCTGACACTATAAGCAAATATATCACATGAAAGTAGTGAAATGAATGCATCATGCACCAAGTGGCTGCTGAGGAAGTTAGGAAAGAGAAAATAGCACACAAATATGGGATCTAACAAACTAAACAAGAATTTGGAGCCCTTTGTTCCTTGCTGTATCTTACTAGTAAACTCACAACAATTACATTGACAACAACAAAAATGTTTTGATTTGCATAATTACCTGTAATGTGGCACATCTTTTACATAAACTCTAGAATATGGAAATAAAACTATTCACATGTCAACATATTTTCAGGATGAGAAATTATATACAGTCTTATACAGTGTTAGTTTGGGTTGGAAGGGACCCTTAAAGCTTGTCTAGTCCAGTCCTCCTGCAATGAGCAGGAACATCTTACATTAGACCAGGCTGCCCAGAACCCCATCCAGCATCCACTGCCTCGCTGAGCAACATGTTCCACCTTAATCATAACAAATTTCTCACTTACAATTAGTCTGATTTTCCCTTCCTTTCATTTCAAACCAACAGGTCCATGGCTTTCTTCTGCTGAGGATCCCAAGCAGGATGCAGTACTCAGGGTGGAGTCTCACCGGAGTGGAGAGCACAGGGGCAGAATCAGCTCCCTTGACTTCTGTCACCCACACTGCTCTGGATGCAGCCCAGGGTACTTCCTAATCTCCAAGCACACACTGCCAACTCATGTCCAAATTTTCATCCACCAGCACCCCCAAGTTCTTCTCCATGGGGTTTCTCTCAATCCATTCATCCCCCAGCCTGTAATGACACCAGGCAAAGCAGATGCAGGACCTTGCACTTGACCATGTTGAACCTCATGAGATTGCCATGTGCCCACTGCCTGAGCTTGTCCAGATCCCACTTGCTTAATTGAAATTGTCTCTATATTTATTTTTTTTTTTTTTTACTGTTGTCTCTACTTTGTATATACTAGCTAAATTTATGCACATTGATCACACATTTTACATTTGAAATATTTGGTTTGGGTTTTTTTTGTTGACACAGCACAGAAAAGAATCTAAGGCATACATTTTAATACATTCTTTGTCAAATTATTGAATCTATTTCATAATGGACCACTCCTTTACTTTTTTTATTTTTTGTGGTTTTGGTAAGTGCAAGAAATTCTCTTTATATGCCATCAAATCTATGCATTATAATAAGACATTATTTTCTGCAATATAGAAACTTTGTTGGTATGAAAATTGTTCATTACACAATTCCTGGTAAATCTTTCCAATATTTAAAGGTACAATCCTGAACACTGGTGACCCACACCCCACTGGCTTTATCAATATGAATTTTTGTTGAGCTATTTGCCAGGATGCACATCATTATATTTGCTAACAGTCTTTTGGGTATCATCCCAGCATCTTCTGGTCATTCCAAATCATGTTTGCAAGAGATGGGTTTGAAGCAATTCTCCAAATTCGATGACTTCTCAGTTTAATTAAATTCAGAGGCAGGCTCTGATGTACTCACTTCTTTTACCAAGCTCTAATTCTGCCCAGATTTGTATGAAGATGGATTTGTAAACATGCATATATGGATGACAAGAGCAGTCTAGGAGCTAAACAGGTTTTCTTCCCGTCCTTTAGCTGTAAACTGTCTATTTTTCTGACTCTAAATCAGGAAACCACTTTAACCTGTGATTAAATCCCAGTGAAATCAAGACTTCAGCACACAGTTAAGGCTCAGCCTACACTTCAGTGCTTAAAGGGCCAGATTAATAACATGCATTCCTGAAAGAATATTTATCATGGCAAGCCATTATTTCCCTGTGACTGGAAAACACAGGCAATCCACCATAAGAAATCTATGAGATCATGAGACGCTTGAAAATATATTAAATAACACTGAGACCACTTAAATATTCAATTTTGTGAGGTCCGACGTAATAAGTTTGGTAGCTCCACCCTTCCCACACCCTGCAGGTGACTCCTGGCGTTATCTCAGTTCTCCACAACCCCCACTCCCTTATCATTCACCTTCAAGAATTCAGTTTATCTCTTGAAACATGCATGGAAACGATGTACACTTATACTGAGAAATGCAGAGATGTACCATTCACCAGTCCTTGCTGAAAAACCCATGTAATTTATAGACAAGAATATATAGTAGCAGATGCACGTGTATTTATGGATTTCTGCTTTCACTTTTTTGCACCTCTGCAAGAAACTTTGCAACACCAGTATTTTCTTCTTTCTAGGGAAATAAGGACTTTGTATATATTAACCAAGTAAACTTAGATTCATCTCTGTGTAGCACCTTACCTGACAACTTTCTGAACTGCAAATTGGCTGCATCAATGTTATTCTGTGTTTTCTAGAAGTCCTTAACTAAGTTTTCAGCATGATGAAGGTGGGAGACTATTAGAACATTCTACATATGCTATATCCTGTCAAAATATCACAGAGCTCATGTGGTCCTTCCACAGAGACCTGTCAGGCATAGGGATTTACAGGGTGCATTCTTATCTGACAGAACCAAATGTACACCACATTGTTTAATGCAACCAAAATATTTTAACAATGCTTAATTTTCAGAAGTGGGTTTTCCAATGTCATATAAATGGGAATATTCTGTGGTGGCTTCTTGGTGTGAAGTGCCTTATATTGTAGGTATACATATTCTTTTTGATTATTTTATGACATGGAGGACTGAAAGTGAAAGAAACAACCCTAATGCAAGACGAAAGGAGCATTCACAGTTGTATGTGATAAAACTTTCATAAATTATGAAACTTATTTTTTTTCATTGGCATTACATTAACTTCTCACCAAGACATTCAGCCACTGCAAACAGCAACTGATACTGTCTGCAACTATCATATACTGCCATGGGTGTTCCAGCCAAATACAGCCCACAAGACAATTCCTGTCATACCACCATTACCATCTTGTGCAATCTTGGGCTGGAGATAAAAGGAAATTACTAGCTCAGGAGATGCAGGAATCTCAGCAAAAGTTGCTGCTCCCACATGAAAGAGGGATTTGCCATCGCTTTGCAAGGAGACACTGGCATATTTGTCCAGCAGCTCAAGGGTTAAAAAAGTGGAGGATGCAGGAGCATGAACCTTCATAAATCTTTACACCTTCTAAGAATGGGTTGGTGCTGCAGTAATATCACAAAACCCTGTCTGTGGAGAGTTCTGCCACCGTTCCAGTGAGTGCAGAAATGTTTTGGTACAACCTCTCTACTCAGCCCTGGGCAGTCGGAGAGCCTGGTAGGACCAGTGGCAAGACAGAGCTTTTACCACACTGTCCACTGTGCCAATGATGACATACTACTGACAGGTGGCAAACCATGTCAACCTCTACAGCTGCCATAATGTTCCCATTGTGACTATATCTATGCATCTATTTATGGTGATGTTTTATCTTGCAGATTTTAAATATAACGTGTTAAAACACAGTGCAGAGTAATCCAAATGCAATTAAGCAAGTAACTGTAAAAGTCAAAATTAGGATACAGAGAACAATGTATTTCAAGTTAAGTGGGAACAAGATTACTTGCTAGATGAAAATAACGGGCACCATCAGTGCCTTATGTGTATGCAAATGATAGGTGTGCCAAAGGAGTATAATCTCAGCTGGCATTACAAACTCTACCACAGAGAAAAACAAGAGCAGTGCACTGGAGAATCTAATCATTATGGAATTAAAAGAAAAATCTCCCTAAATCCACATCACAAGCAAAGAAGAATGTTGATTTAACATTCTGATATTTGAGTTTATGCAGCTATCATTTGATAGCTGCATAAACTGAAAACTTGCCTGCTCCCAGTGAGACATGACTCAGGTGAACACCTGAAATGGGGTGGTAAGCGACTAAAATGTTCTCTGTACCTATAGTTTAAAAAAAAAATTACCAAATCATGGGAGCTTGTTATCATCTGTACATCTGTATCATAACTGTACATAATTCTGTACTAAGCAGAATAGTTAATGCAAACAATCACACACCAAATTCGAGACCAATCACAGAAAAAATGTAAGCACTTACCATTGACTTTGGATGAAACCAGCAACAGCAGGGAAACCAGGCAGTTACTACATTTCAGCTGAACTATTGCCAGGATTTTCTTTGTGAAACAAATGAGGAGGTACTTTTAATGTACATTTGAAGTACTTTCTACCACTAGCTCACGGAACAGTTTTCAAAACTCCCTTGTCACAAATAATGACAAGCAGTAACTGTCTAGAAAAGTCAGTTAACGAGTTTGCTGAAAAGAAATTGCAGCTGAATATCTCACTTTCACTGCTATATTAGAAAAGAAATTGCAGCTGAATGCCTCACTTTTACTGATACATAGGCAGTTGGTGGTGGATCTATGAAACAAGGAACATGGACTATAGTATCATATATATGGATAATTTCATTCACAGAAGGAAAACTGCACAAACATACAGAAAATGTAAAAAATATCTTAAGGAGTTGAATCCAACCTACACAAATTTACTCCCTCATTTAAAATTGGGTGACTGTAAGCAGGGAAACTGCCATCTTTACTTTTCCAAATGTGCTTGTCTTGAAGATGAGAGGACAAAAAACATGTTTCAGTTATAAGAGCCTATTTCTGCTCATTGGTCTTCCTGCCAGTTTTGTAATAGCTCCATTCTGCATGGTGTCTAAAATCCAAGAGAGCTATTCAGGTCACCTAATATCATGGAAGAGCTTAAAATTTACTAGAGTCTCCATATTGGACTTCAAAATTTTTATATAGACCCCACACCCCCAGATGCTTAAAAGTATCCCAAACTGAACTCTTTAAGTAGTAACTGAGAAAGAAATGCCTAAATTCATCCCCAGAGAGGCCATTCCCACACCTAACATCCATGAGTAGTTCTGAATTTAGCCCAAATGCCATTTAGTACTCCCAGTTGACATTAGCACTCTTAGCCTGCGTGTGGAGTGAGCTCTTCCAGAAGACTGCTCTAACCAGTAGTGTAGACAATACCTTGGGATGAGGTTCACATCTCCCTCCGTTCAACTCTCAGTAAGTCACTCATGAGATAGAGACAGCATTCACAATTGGCACTGCAAAACTGGGTAAACTGCATACACACAAATGGAAACAGAGTTTGAATCCCAGGACTTTTAGACTTGTAATTTCAAAGGAGGATCTTCCAACAAGAAGATCCAGTAACAAGATAAAGGGAGTTTGGGTCTGGTTTTATATTTTTTCTGGTTCTGTCTTTCCTTTCTGAACAGTAACCTAGCTGCAACAAGAGGGATGGAGAGTAGCCTGTATCCTTGGGCATGCTACCATTTGCTCATTCCTTGGGAAAATCAGAATTGGTGAGTGAGCTCACTCAAGACTGAAAGGGTCCTAGACCTAGACCTAGAAAACACAATTCTGTCTTCCGGGATAACTTCCCAAACCAACAGGTACCTTTGCACAGGACTACATAGTACATAACTGTTAGCACAGCTGGCCAACAACAGCTGCCTAGCATCATCAGGAGGTAGCATAAGCCAAGAACCATCCCTGATAGGAAACCTGGATGGAGCCACACTGGCTTCAAGGAGTGGGAAGAAAGAGCAGTCATGTGGATGTGAGAGTGGGAGCCTCTCATGGCTCCTACTTGTAAAAATGTCTTGGTGTCAAAAGTTTGTTCTGGCAAAGCCAAACCTGCTGACTCTTCAGATGATTTTCAGAAATGTTTTGCACTGACGAGCTCTAAGCAGTGCTCTGTTTCAGCATGTGGGAGTGCTGGATCAGCTGGCAGACGTAGGCAGTCAGAGCAGAGGAGCTGGTGGTGCCTCACACAGGTGCCCTGAATTCCTTTTCACAGGGCCTTATAGTTTTTCATTGACTATGGAAGAAATGTTGTCATAATATTTTTTGCCACAGCAATACTTCAATTCCAAATACAGAAATCACTTTTATGCACAACAGCGAAGCATGGAATTTTCATCTGGTTTCTTAAGGATATGTTTTCCTACCTGGAAAAGTTCAGAGTCAAATACTGTTCATTCTACAGAAGAACATGCATCTGTGAAAGGATGCTCCCAGGAATAAAAATCTATAAAATCAAAACATTGCAATAAGCCAGAAAGCGATGCCTTTGGCTATCAATTCTTATTCAACGCCTTGAATATTGACATTTACATTTAGGAGGAAAATATTTATTCTGAGAAATAAACTATTATCTTATTTAATGTTACTGCATTCATTTTATCCCTTTAACAAATAATGTTCAAATGATCCCTCTTGTAGGATTATACTCCCATTTGTGATCTGTACTTGTGGCCCACTCCTGCCCCCTAATATTCTCCTCTGCTATACCACCCTGCATAGCTTGATTAGCTTGGTCTTTAGTGCCTCCTCCCTATATAAAGTGAACACGGTATGACCTGCAGTCAGCCTCAGAGAAAAAAAAAAAAACAACAAAAAACCAAAAAAACAAAAAAAAAACCAAAAAAAACCAAAAAAAAAAAAAAAAAAAACCAAAAAAACCCCCCAACTTTCTTAGGGGAAATGACACCTACAAATGAATGCTCTACACCTGGAAAAGCTGGCTGGGTTTAGGCATTTAAATGTTCATTTATTTCATGACCTCTTCAACTGCCAAAATATGTGGGGGTGTTTTAACACCAAGACAGCAATTTTTGTTCAGCCAGTTAAAGCTATGCCTGCTTTTTTTTTTTTTTTTTTTTTTTGTTTCTTCACAGTTGTTATTGAAATAGTATCAAACTCAAAAGGCAACCCTATTTTAACAAAAAAAAAAAAAAAATCCTAATGGAACCAGAAAACAAGTAGTTTTCATCTCAAACTCTACTGAGATAACTCTGTTGAGAGAAAATACCTTTTTAGCATAAACACATAAGCCAGCCCTGGAAAGCAGGTAGTTTTCTTCCCATTAACAAGTTCCAATGAGTAACTCTTTAAATGAACATCTAATCTAATTCAGTTAGAATTACAAGCCAAAATATCACAAAATATACTTTTGAGAGCATATCAGTCTAGTTAGAAAATATTGAAATATTAGCTACTTCTTCACAGAAAAATACCCTCTCCTTCTCTCGTGGTGCTCAAATGGTTTCTATTTCAGGCTGACAGCCCTGTTGTCAATCACACCAGCTAGAAATCTCTTCCTAGAGCAGCTTTGGAAATGCAGATACTAGAGCTCTGCATGTACTGCCAATTTTTTTTCCCCTTAATATCAAAATAGTAGTATATTTGGTAGGGATTCAATACCCATTTTTAAGTGCTGCTTTTTTCAAACTTGACTTTTTCTCCTATTGTAGATGAAGTCATTGTAATGGCAACTTGTGTTAATCAGCCACTCTTAACAGTCCTTTGATATCTACAGGATGAATTATTTCTAATGGCAGCACTTCCCAGCCCATCAGTTCTATCAGAAAGCTGCAATGGCCATTCTGCCTTTTGCTCCCACACAGATAAAAAGTTCACACAAATAAAAATATCAGCATTTTTATTATTAAGAACAACAATAATTATCTTATTACAGTCTGTAAGCCATGTATACAGATTCTGTCACTTTCAAGTCTCAGCTTTCAAATCAAGTTTAAGGGGGGTTTTATGTTTTTGGGTTTTTTTAAGCATCTGAAAACATACAACCTTTTTGCTTTGCAGTTTTTTACTACAGATAAGAAAGATAAGAAAACTTTTTGATCAGTCAAAACATAATGTCAAAGTGCCAGGAAAATAAGCCATTAATACACAAATGAATACTTTTCTATTACCAGAGTCTACAATAGAATATATTGCTAAGAAAATGCTAAGGAAAAGAATAATACCTTCATTGCAATTGCTTTAAGAACTCAATAAAATTTCAAGTGTTTCTTTCACCTTTCATTTTTTATAGATCATTAATAAAGATGGTAGAACATTCATTCCAAAATCTGTGGCCAGATCGTTAGCTATGAGAATGCATTCAACTCTGTTTTCAGCATTTTCACTGACTGAGAATAGGGTCAATATCTGGAGAAAACGGTGGTGGAATTCATGTAGAAAAATATTGTTTCTCTGATGAGCAAGACAAGGATTGGATGCTGATGCTGCAGGCTACTCAAGGATGTTTAATTGTATTCATGAACTATTTGTAAGACGGTGAGCTGCCAAAACCTCAGACATTTCCAACATGGTAATTCTGGAATGGCTGTAGTATATAGGAAAAAACAGATGTCATAATGTGTTTCATCTAGTTTAAAACTTAACATGTAATTAATTTAATAGCTTGACAATAGCTGATGTAGCAACAAATACAATGCAATTAAATTCATACCTCATTATGACATAAAATTCTTCTACATATGCATTACAAAAAATGATCAGATTTTGAGACACTGGTATATTTAATGGTGTCTAATTGTCCTTAAAATGCAATTGCATGTAATACTTGCTTCATATTTCATCACTTGTGAAAATGGTTTTATTTTTGTAACACTGTACTTCCTGTAGTCCTTTTATTACACCACAAGTGAAAGCTATTCCTTGGTGTATGGTTTCGGATGCTGTATCTAGGTACTCGGACCTCTACATTCATTATGTAATGTTTTCATTTTTTTTCGTATTGCTTGGCTGTTTGTCCAAACCGCTGCAGACAATTACCATGGTTCTTTATAATTTTTCTCTGAGTACTTTTTATAATAGACTTCAGGTGGTCAGTTTTAGGCACACAGCACCATGTTGAGACAGAGTCCTGTTCATGTATTACTTTGCGCTGTCCAAGAGTTTCTCAAGGTATTATTAGGGTTTCTCAATTGTTAGTGCTGCAGAATTAAAAAGGGTAAGAGTAACACTGAAGCCAAATAATTCTTTTAAAAGTAGAGTCCTAAAGAAATACCAACACCAAGCCCAGACACTTGTTACAGAACGGCACTGCCTGACCTGCAGTTTCTGTGACAGTTTCCTACATGCAGTTTCTGTTCAAAGAAAACAAAAATACATTTTGAGGTTATAGTGATCAAGTTGGATTAAACAGAAAATAAATTTACTTTGAATTATGTAATTGATTTTTCAAGTGACTCAGATCTTCCAACGCTAGTGTGTTCCTATCAAAGACACTGAAACCCCTTTGAGAGGAGTCTGAAAGGAAAAGGGTTGAACTGTGGCATAATGAAAACCCCACTAAAATTTAATGACACATTCCATTCACTGCAGTAGATGAGGTCCTTGATGCTGACAACAGAGTCGTCCTCTGATTCTGTGGGTATGTACAGCTTGGTTTTTGGTACAGCACAGGGATATTATTAGGAAAGAGGGATCAGTAAAAAGGAATCTGAAACCTGATCTAGTGCTGAGGAATGCCTTTTGAATGTGTCATTTGAACCGAGTTATTACTTCTGGGAGGTGTGAACGTCTTTGCTAAAAACCTGAAATGGATCCTGAAAAGAAGTAAAAAAGTTAGGCAAGCCTTTGTGGAATTAAGAAAAGTAGTTTCAAAGAAATAATTATAATTTTGATTCTGTGCATCAAGATTTCAAATAAAACTCATCATGAGTCTGTTGGATATCCCTTGTTTCAGTTTACATTAACATCCATCCATTTTCTACATTTTAAAAACACATTTTGACTTTATGTATATATTTAGATCCTGCACATTTAGGTGATCATTTAAGTTCTTGGAATACATATTGGAATACATATATTCCCTCACGAATGGTACTGTAGCTCTGTTTCTAAAATGCTGAATGGGCAGATTGTTTTCATCAAGCATTTCATATGAACGGTTTATGAACTGTGAACAAGAGAATTGTCTACTGATTGGTTATCATGACTTTCAAAGCTAACTGATACTTAATCCCTGCTCAGGGAAAATCAGGGGATTTTTATTGCACCTACAAGGAAATTTTAGGGAATATTATAAACTGACTGATTTTAAGGAAGTAAAAGGAATGGCTGACAATAAAATGCTTACAAGCTGTGGCTATGTAATACTAAACTGCTGTGCAATTTCTCCTTCAGTAGGTTACTTAAAGGAAAAAATAATATATTATGAAATGGACACATTTTTAGAAATTTATTGGAGACCCTTTCAGCAGGGATCACAATGAAAAAGGGAAATGGTCTACTTGCTGAGGCTGACAGCTAAAGGCACAAATCCATCAGTCACTCAGCTGTGGTTTAGCATTCTTTTCAACACAGATCATTTAGCCTTCATTTTCCAAACAAGTGCTGTCACCTACAATGCACACCCACATAGTTGTTCTCAGGGTGCAGGTTGTCACACAGAGGCAATAAACAGGGTTCCCATAGAAAACTTCCATCTTTGATAGCACTTCAGAAAGGAAAAACTACTGATTGCAGCTCACATGCTCTATCCCTACGGCTTTTTGGAGGAAAAGTTCATTAGCTGCTTTGCATGCCAAGGGACCAGCTGTCCTTCAGCACATGGAGCTACTCTGATTGACCAGGAGGACAAGTGGGAAATAAGCCCACAGCAGTGCCAGCACAGCATATGGTCATGTACCAGCTGTTTCTGAAATGCTTGCCAAATGGAGATCAGAACTGGGTTGGTTGTTAGGAAAATAAAACCCAACAAAAACCAACAAACAAAAAAGTTCCACTGTCCTGGTTCCTGAGATATGACCACAAAACCAGAATGGTCAATTTGAAATGCCACACAGCAACTACGTGAATATTCAGAATAATTGGCCTCCATGTTCTGGCTTGCTCCATTAGGAGAACACCAATGTTCTGAGCATCTGTTCCTTCTACAAACTTTCAGAGAAAAAAAATGTTTAGAAAGGGTGAAATAGAGTGGGTTTGTATTGACGATATACATATACTAATACATTGAGGACATGTGCAGACAAATCTTAGGTTCCTCATATTTTAGTACATCTTATTCTGCCTTGAAAAGGGGAATTCAAATTCTGAGCTCCTGAACAAAACTTGATAGTGATTGGTGCGAGTTTTGTTAGTGGTGGTGAAAGGCTTCTGATAAACCCAGGGAATGACTCAGCAGAAAACAGTCAGCAGGATTTTTCCCCCAAAGCTTTTCAGTTTCAGCTTTTCATAACAAGAAAATAACTTGAACAGTAATTAAATAGTTCAGAGAACAATTCTGTCCTTTTATCACACAGTTTAAAGCACTACTTTCTCTTTAGATTTCTCCCAAAATACTCCTGCAAGGTTTGGAGAAAGTAACTGATTAACTGTACATTCATATGACATCAATGACTGCCTCAGCGACATTTAAGAGAATGCTGGTCGATCATGTAGCTACACAATCTTGCACACTTAACTTTTGGCTAGCCTAAATCAGATTTATGACTAAATTAGGCGCTAAGGATGTTCAAAATTGGCAAACCCTAGCTAAAACAAAAATAAGAATAATGTTGCTCTGTATCAGGAAATGAATATATAGGCTGGGAGGCAATGTTTGCATTCATGCTTCTTATGAGATGTATTTTTTAAATACAGACTTAACTTGTTGAAAGGCCTAAATGGGACCACATCCGGTACTGGGGGATCATGTTTTCAAAGGCGATCTTAGTTCCATTGACTGAAGATGTTGTGCACAAAAGAAGCAGTGTGAGCCAACATGGATGACATACTGCATTTTGGAACTCTAGGAGCCACACGTTGAGCAGTGAACAAAAGGAAGAAAACCTCAGGATTACACAGACAGAAGACTTACTCTGACATCTTACATAATATTGACTTTCCTTAGGCCCGTGTGTGTTCGTGTATTTGAGAAATGTGGGGTGGTAGTGTACACCTGAAAAGGGCATCATTATTTTCCTAATTAAGAAGCTTAACGAGTACTTTGGTGTGTCTTGTCATATTTTCAGCCTTACAGTGGCCCATTTTCACCCATCTACTATGCTAAAAATGTTGCCCTTTCATTACTCCACGGTTGTGTAAACAGTTGTGATTAAACTGGCATTTAATCAATTGGAACAAAATCCCCGCGGCTCCCGAGGAGCTCACCTACTAAACCCGACTTTCAATGGCAACAATCTCCTAACAGACTACTTCCCTTCCAGACGGGCTTTCATTGCGCACTAAAATAAACTTTTATTTGCTAACCTTGCTCTCGGAGTAATTCAAAAGGACCTCACATGACAAACACCGCTACGCTCCATCATTATCCCCCGCTCCCTCCCTCGCATTCCTGCGCCGGCCCTGCCTGGGTGTTCCCCTCCCCGGCGGCACGGCGCTCCGGAGGGCGCGGGTGCTTCCGGCCGCCGGCTCTCCCGCCTCAGCGGCGGCCCCGCGGGCCCGCCCGGTGACTTGCGAGCGCCTCGCCCGCCGCTCCCCTCCTCAGGCGGACAGCGCGGCGCTCTCCCGGCGGGCGGGAGGCTGTACAACCAGGGCAAAGGACACTTCCCCTCCTCCCCCCGCCCTTCCTGCGCCGCGGCCCCGACATGAAGGCGGCTCGCCGGCGCCCGGGCCCTACAGACGACAGAGATAGGGACAGGGATGAGTGCGGAGCACAGCAGAGCAGAGCAGAGCGGACCGGTCCCGTCATCCCGGGCCTCCCGCCCACCGGCGCGATGGTCGCTAGCCCCTTTCCACCCGCGCTGCGCAGCCCCACGGATCTGCGATCAGGGATCCGGGCCGCCCTCTGGGCGGAGGGATACGGGGCGGAGCCGGCGGCGCGGTCCGCCGGGGCGCTGAGTCCCGTTGCCGGGTGACGGAGCGGCCGGCCCGGCCCCCTCCCTCCCTCCTTCCCTCCCCGTGGCGCTGGAACCGCCGCCGCCGCCGGTTTACGTAACGCCTCCCGGGGCAGGTCCCGGCTCCGTCCCGCCCGCCTCACTCGGGGACGGCAGCAGCGGGACGGAGTCCGCTGCCTCCTCCGGCTGCCAGAGGCCCCAGGGCCCCGCTCTGCGCCACCACGGCAGGTAAATGCCCGCCGCGGGCCCGGGGAGCAGAGGGAGGGGCAGGGCTGAAGGGAGGGAGGGAGGGAGAGTGGCAGCCGCCCTGCCCGTGGAACGGGAGGACGGAGCCGGGAGGCGGCGGCGGGCGCCCTTCCCCTCCCCCGCTTCCTTCCCACCGCTGCGTTGGGACAGGCGGGCTGGACCCCCGGGAGCGCCGGGCCGGCGGCTCGGGGCCCGGCCGGGAAGGCCCGCGCATCCCTGCCCGCTCCGCTAACAGCCCGGGAAGAGGAGGAGTTGCGGGGCCGGGCCTGCTCCCGCCGGGAGGACGGTTTCCCGGGACGGCGCGTCCCGCTCTCGGGTTGCGCCTGGCGCAACGCGGCGGGAGCGTGCCGGGGGGCGCGGGAGGAAGGGGCCGGGGAGGGGGTGACAGGGGCGCCGGGGCCCGGGCGGGGGGCGGCTGCCGGCCGGCGGCGGGCAGGGCTCGGGGGCGGGGCCGGGGGCCCGGCCGGGGTGCCCCGGTCAGAGCGCTGCCCGGGAGGGGAGCTGAGCCCTCCGTGGCTGCCGCCGACTCCATGCTCTTCCATCCCGGCGGGACCCGGCGCCAGGTGAGCGGCTTGTGCCGCGGCCGGGAGGAAGGCGCCAGCCTGGAGCGGGAGAAGCGGCTCGGTGCCCTCGGGCTGGTTCACGCCCGGGAGCAGAGGAGGAGAAGGAGGGAGGGAAAGGCGGCACCCAGAACCCACCCGCCGCGGGTGCCGGCCCGCGCCGGTGTCATCTGGCGCCAGCAGACGGCAAAGCGGAGGATGCGGCGGTTCGGATCGGAGTAGGGAGATCCCGATCCGGGCAGCGCCTCGCCTGCCCTGCCTGACCCCGAGGCTGAGGTGACGGCGTTGTACCGCTGCCGGCCCCGGCTGGTGCTCACGCCGTGACCTTTCATCCTGTGCGGGCGTTCAGAGGGCAGCGGCCGGGGAGGGGGAGCTGGGGACGGGCTGGGGCCGATGGAAACCGCCCCGGCTGAGCCGCGGCGTTACAGCGCTGCCCCGGGGGCCGATCTGGCGGGGCTCGCTCCCCTCTTCTTTTTTTTTTTTTTTTTTTTTTCCCTTTCCAGCAGCATTGTCCTTTAGGGCCTATTGAAGGCAAAAGGCGGATAGGAGGGCTAGGGCTGCTGCTGTTTGAGGAGGCGGAGCTGGGCTGATGGGAGACTGACGGGAGCCGCATCCTATGGGCGCTGGGAGCCGGGCGCGCTGGGGCGGGACCGCCGGCCGCGGCCTCTCGCGGGCGATGGGCGGGGTGGGGGACAAGGTTTGGCGAAGGTTACAGCTGAATGCAGAAGTGACACAAACTGACACTTCGCTCCGGCAAACTCGTTTCCATCTTCTCCTCGTGTCGTCTCGATTAAAAGTATACACGCATTGAATCGTGTTATGAAACTTTGAGAAAAGCGAAAGTGCGGTGCTTTTTTTTCTGTCTTGTCTTTGTTTTAATTACTCATTGCAGTACCTGATACTGATCTGAAGGGTGAAAATAGTATGATTTGCTTGTCTTTCCTTTGAAATAAAATGCATTCCTGTATTCTGATGTTTTCTGTGTATAAGTGATTCAGTCTGTAATTTATAAGCTTGGGATCAGAGGCCTCTGTGAAATGTGTAGTTGCTTTTCTTCATTCACACCCTTTAAAATGTTTACAGTTTCTCTTGTACACAGTATATTTCTTCTGTATTCTTGGAATGAAGTGGGAATTGCCAATTGACTTTGGTTTTTTAGCTATCAAAAGTGAACTCGTGATGATTCAGTAGATAATTGTGTAAAACAAAGTACTTCACCAAGTGCTTAAACCCTAGGTATTGCAAACTCCTCACAATCCATGTTAGTCGGTAATTGACGTTTTTCTGTATTATTTAAGACAAAAATATGCCTTACAAAAGTAAATGACATGGAACTTGATTGTTACTTGACATGTAACTGTACAGATTTTATTTTGTACTAATCCTCCATCTGCTGTTGCTTGTTAGTATGGATATGCTAAAATGGTAGTGTACAATCATTCTCTTCTAGTCAATAATGCATATCATTAGGTATCCAAATCTTCTCTTTTCATCACTGAGATGTGAGGGGATGTAAGTGACTTGAATGAAATTAGTAGTATGTTATATATTTGTAATGTTATTTATTTTCAAAGACTTGACAATTATGGGGGAAATCCTTAGACAGGCCATTAAAAGCCTCAGCAGCGTATATCCCCACCGTGTTCTGCTTGACATTGATATTAACATGTGTACAATAACAGAATTGTATCCGTCTGTTTAGGGCACCATTGGGATTAAGACCCTTTGAGTCCTCAGATTCTCTAAATTTGGGCTGGGTATATGACCCTCCACATTTTCTGCTCATTAGCAGTGGAATTGGAAGGAAAGGAAGGGTCAAAGAGATCAATATGTGTCCCAGGAAGAAAAAATGGAGACCCTGAACTTCTTTTACCGTATTATGCCTGTTTCACAGGCATATTTCAGCATTCCCCACTGCTTTTTTTGTTGTTGCTATTTGTTATTCTTCCAAGTAAGAGAAATTCCATAGGGGTAAAATGACGTCAGCATTTTCCTCTGCTCATTTGCTGTGCATTCTAGCCGGAATAGGGTCAGAGGAGGATCTAGATACTGTTCAAAACTTCATTATTTGTCCATCTTGAGCATCTTGTTTCTAGGCAAATAGGGGGAATAAAGCAGCCAAGAGGTTGCACAGGTGAATTTTCTTGAAGGATTTTACTAGGTTTTAGCCCTAGTGTTGTAGAGTCAGAATAGACACTTTGTATACTTAGCTGGGATCCTAGCAAAATCATGTCTCAGTTTGCTGCTTCTTTAAGCAATAGCTAATAACTGAAAGTAACAATTTAGTACTATAATAGGATAGGCAACAATGTCTGGTAAAGCAGAATGTGGTGAAGGCAGTAAGACTTAGAATTTCAGTAGAGTTGGAGAGGTAGCAGGAAATATTCCCATTGTCTGCACTGCTAATAGAGCTTGGAATACAGATGATCTTGTAGAAGCTATTTAATATGTTTTGTTTGTTGGGATAGTCTGGTTTTAGGATATTCTTCTGTCTCGTGGAACAGAGATTGGAATCCTTCATTTTTGTCCACGAAAAGTGACAGACTGGTTGGATAATTTGTAAAGGGAATTGCAGAAATTAGTTGTGTCGTCCATCCCCATAGTCCAGCCCTAAGAATTTTTTCCAACTAAAGTCAATCACATGATACAAAAGAAAAAATTTCAAATGAGTATTGGTGTGCTTAGTTACGTTTCGGTACACAGACAAAAGGAAAATTGTCTGACTGGAAGAAAAATTACGTTTTTTTTGTTAATTTGAAAATAACAGATTTTTCTAGACAGAAGTACCATATAACTGCGGGACTGTCAAAATGTGTTAGTAGAAAAAGGTCTAGATGGGCTAGTGATAATATTTTTATTAAAAAACATCTTGCTTTACTTTTATGAAAGTTGGTTGGGTACGTTTTAATGGATGTTCAGAGATTGAAAGTGTATTTTAATGGCCCACAGAGGTGGTTGGGGTTGGGGGGAAGAGTTGAGTAGCTTAAACATTCAGTACAAAGATTATTCTTTCACAGACATCTTACTACGAGCTATTTCTGTAGCTTTATTGGAAGCTACTGAGTATTTTAAATTTTTAATTATCTACTTCCTTTATAACTTCATATGCAGGATGTTTGGACTACCTGCGTAATACTATACATTGTTTGTTTTGTTTCTGCATCTAAATTCTGTCCATAACTTTGATACCAAAGAGGACATATGGAAAGTGTCTTTCCAAGAGATTTATTTCTGAGGCAGTAGTGTAGAAGTTAAATAATGAAGTATTTAAATTCATTTTTCAATCTTGTGATATTACATGTAATATTTTAATTATATTCGTGTGGAGATATAAATTATATATTTAAATTCATTTTTTCAGTTCTGATATTACATGTAAGTTTAATTATATCTTACTAAGTCTGTGCTCAGGCTTGCTGTAGTGATTTTCATTTTACTATAATTTGGGGAATGTTTAAATTTCTGGATTTTGCTGTATTGAGGAAGAAATTTCAAATATGCAGTCCATGCTAATGTTAATTGTGTCTGTAACTTTCTAGGCCTTATTCTAGAAAGGATTGCGTGTGAAAATTTATACTCTGTGCAAAAAGAGTATAAATTTTATATATAAAGAGTATATTTTATTTGTTAATAAATAAAAATAAATTGTAACAGGGATGAAATTTGAATAATTTCATGGAGTTTTTGTGGCTTTTAAAAATCTTCCTCTAGTTACTATTAAATTTACCAAAGGAGCAAGGTCTGCTGGATAGAGTGCTTGGCTGGGATTGAGAAAAGAGACCTGCATGAAGTTTTCTATCAGCTGTACCTCTGAGTGAATTCAAGCGAAAATTTCATTTTCATGTGCTTGTGTTTAAGGTGCTGTATGTAAAGGAGTAGCTGTTATCCCTTTTGTAGGTTGCTAAATTTTGTGAGGTTTTTTTTTATGGTTAGATGGACTAGCATGGTTGTAGAAGAATTCTGAAAGGAGACATGATGGCCTTGCTGATGAGATTTTGCATAAATAGGCTGTGGAAGATAGTACAGAGAGAGAGATAAGGGAGTAAGAGACTGGGGGTAGCTGAAGGCCAGAAAAAATAAAGCAACCTGACATAAGATGGTTCAGCTTTAACATCAGAGCTGCAGAGCAGAGTTGCAAGATCTGTATCCTCTGCAGGGTTATTCCAGGTAGTGTTAGCATAGTCAGGGCTTGGATTGAGATGATAATCATCAACAGTAAAGTGGGAAAACATGCTAAAACATACACAGATTGATTAAAGAAGTTATTTTGTTAATTTAGCATGTGTCATATGTACTTTTTAAGAAAACAGTGTGTTTTATTAGCCTAAAGGAAAGGGTCTGCTTGAAGAATCACTAATGAAGAAATCAATAATGCCTATTGCTGCCACTGGATGAGTAATTAATTCTCACTAGATCCTTGTGACACTGTAATGTGTTATTATGAACTTGAACCAAAATTGAAGACTGGCTGAGTGGATGTGCAACTTTAAAACATTGCATTGTATTCAGGACACTAGAATGTCCTGAAAGAAATGGAGCCAGCTTCCAGTTATTTTTTGGGTTCATATCTTTACTTTTTAGGGTACAGGAAAAGCTTTCATGATATTGGATTCTGCTCTCTGAAGACTTTGAGCTAATTACTGCTACTAATTATCTAAGACTACTGTTCAGTGAATTCCTCTTCTAGTTCTGTTTTCTGAGGTAGAAGTTCAATTCAAGCCTTGCATTTGACAGTGAAACTGAATTACCTTTAGTAATTTTTGTTTTATTGAAGTTTTTTTAGCAGTTTTGATGGAAGTCTTGTTAAATTGTGTGAGGTGACACAAAAGTTTTAAAATGCCTCTGTAAGTTCAGATATTAGTATCATATGTAGATGATTTTTTCACCAGCCACTCTGAACTGAATATCTTACTGACTTCTGAGAAACCTCCAAGTTCCACTTTTTAGTAACTTTGTTCTTGAATTGTGAAAGAAATGCCTTG